TTGTCAGCATCCATGCTGGAAGCCTTAGCTCTCCACTGACATTTCAATTAATTTCTTTTTTTTTTTTTTTTGAGATGGAGTTTCACTCATGTTACCCAGGCTGGAGTGCAATGGCGCTATCTCGGCTCACCGCAACCTCCGCCTCCTGGGTTCAGGCAATTCTCCTGCCTCAGCCTCCTTCAATTAATTTCTTTAGAGAACTGTCAGCTGCTTTTCTTGTAGGCCTGTGCCAGCTCCCAGCTCAGCTGTCTGGTGGGGAGAGGAGGTTCCAACTGGTATAGTCATTCTGTACTGGGGCCTTCAATTAATCCCCATGTGTTCAGTCCTATTTAATTCTATTGTTTTCTACCACATGCCTGCTGATTCTGATTGTTGGTGTAGTATCTAGCAAACTGGCTTCTACTTCCTCTGTGGCTCCCTTGTCAAATATTCTAACCTGGATATTTACTACCTATTTTATTCATCAATCAATTCCCATATGCTTTCTATAAAATTGTTGTACTCTGTCCATTGATGATAACCTCCCATCCTCACCACATTCTCTTCACTCTGGTGGGTTTATTCCTTTCTTTTTATTTTTATTTATTTATTTATTTATTTTTGAGACAGAGTCTTGCTCTGTCACCCAGGCTAGAGTACAGTGGCATGATCTCAGCTTACTGCAGCCTCTGACTCCAGGGTTCAAGCAATTCTCTTGCCTCAGCCTCCTGAGTAGCTGGGATTACCGGTGCATGCCACCACACCTGGCTAATATTTGTATTTTTAGTAGAGGCGGGGTTTCACCATGTAGGCCAGGCTGGTCTCGAACTCCTGACCTCAAGCAATCCACCCACCTCAGCCTCCCAAAGTGTTGGGATTACAGGCATGAGCTACTGTGCCCTGCCTCCTTTCTGTTTCTTGACATTCTTCTTTTAGTGGACTTCTATGAGTAAAGAAGAAAAACTCTGTGTGTGTGTGTGTGTGTGTGTGTGTGTGTGTGTGTGTGTGTATGCATGCTCATGCACATCTGTGATCTGTGCCTGCTCATGGTGTCTTGTATCAGAATTTATTCATTTCTTATCTATTATCTAACAAATATGGTTAAGGCTATTAATTTTTCTAGGTGACCACCATAGCCATATCTCCTAGGTTTTAATACATAGCACTCTCAATGTGGGTCATTTCTGTTTTGAGACAGGGTCTTGCTCTTTCTCCCCTGCTGGAGTGCAGTGGCGCGATCCTCCCACTTCAGCCTGCTGAGTAGCTGGGACTACAGACGTGCACACACTCAGCTAATTTATTCCATTTTTGTTAAAAACAGGGTCTCACTTTGTTGCCCAGGCTGATCTCGAACTTCCGGGCTCAAGCGATCCTCCTGCCGTGGCCTCCCAAAGTGCTGGGATTACAGGTGTGAGCCAGTGCTCCTGGCCTGGGTTAGCTCTTCCGAAATACAGATTTTCTATCAGTTCAAGAGATTTTTTAGACAAATGGTGTACAAATTTGTGTTGTCTGCCATATTGATAAAATCCTTCTGGTTGTGGGCTGTCAATTACCATCTATACTAGATTTTCCTGGTTTTTATCTTCTACAGTCCCGTTTTTAAGGGGACCTTAAAATGTTTTAGTCCCATTTTCTTAAATGACCCACTTTTAATTCTAATAGTAAATAACTCTGATTTTAGTATATTTTTCTACTTCACAACGGCAAGTGTGAAATTGTATAACTTAAGTCCCTTCTATTCAGTCTAAGGAATTTAGCAAGATTCTCTTTATTATTTTGTAATCTTTCAAAAACTCCGCAATTTCTAGTCTTGTACATTACTGTTTCCAATCTAGATTTAACTTGTTATAGCCCATGACACTTCTTGAATTTTGATTGAGGCAAATAATTTGCAGAGTAATTTATGAAGAATTAACATTTTTATAATGTTGATGGTTCCATTCCAGGAATATGGTAGTGTCTGTTATTTTTTTAAGGTCTTCTTTTATGTTTTTCAGTAGTTTGATAGCTTTTTGATACAGGTTTTGACATTTCTTATTAAGTTTATTCCCAACTGCTTTATAATTTTTGTAGTGAGAGTGAGTTGAATATTTTTTTCCTCATTACATTTTCCAGCTTTTTATTACCGGCCGTGTTTATATGCCTGCATCCTAAGACCAGGGAATTGACTTGAAATAGGCCTTTCTCCTCGCAGTGAAGCACCAAGGATGAGGTTCAAAAGAGAATGGAAGAAGGATGTATGTGGGTTTTTTTTTTTTTAATTTTTTAACTGACACATATTTAGGGGGTACAATTTGATATTTCAATATGTATTTACATTGCATAATGATCCAAGCAGGGTAGTTAATATATCTATGACCTTATGCATGTACCATTTCTTTACTGTGAGAACTTGCAAAAGCCTCTTTTCTAGGTATTTTGAAACATACAATATATTACTGTCAACCATAGTCACCCTGCTGTGCAATAGAACAACAGGCTGGAGTGCAGTGGTGTGATATCGGCTTACTGGAACCTCTGCCTCCCGGGTTCAAGCGATCCTCCTGCCTCAGGCTCCTCAGTAGCTGGGACTAAAGGCACCCACCACCAAGCCCAGCTAATTTTTGTATTTTTACTGGAGATGGGGTTTCATCATGTTGGCCAGGCTGGGCTCGAACTCCTGACCTCAAGTGATCCACTCACCTTGGCCTCCCAAAGTGCTGGGATTACAGGTGTGAGCCACTGTACCCAGCCAAAACACCAGAATTTATTTATCTTATCTAATAATAACTTTGTACCTGCTGACCAGCCTCTCCCTATCCTCCTCTCCCCCATCCTCTCGCCAGTCTCTGGTAACTACTGTTCTACTCTCTGCTTCTATGATATCAACTCTTTTTTGTTTCTGAGATTCCACATATGAGTGAGATCATGTGGTATTTGTCTTTCTGTTTCTGGTTTATATCCCTTAACATGATGTCATCCTCCAGGTTCATTCATGTTGTTGTAAGTGACGGGATTTCATTCTTTTTTTATGGCCAAATAGTATTCCATTGTGCATATGTACCACATTTTCCTTATCTATTCATCTGTTGATGGACACCTAAGTTGATTCCCTATCTTGGCTATTGTGAATAGTCTTGCAATAAAAATGGGAGCGCAGATATCTCTTCCACGTACTGATTTCATTTCCTTTGGATATATACCAGTAGTAGGATTGCTGGATCAGATGGTAGTTCTATTTTTAATTTCTTGAGGAACCTCCATACCATTCTCCATAGTGACTATACTAATTTACTACCTCACCAACAGTATGAAAGTATTCCCTTTTCTCTACATCTTTGCCAACTTATCTTCTTTTGTCTTTTTGATTAAAGCCATTCTAGCTGAATTGAAGGGGTATCTCATTATGCTTTTGATTTGCATTTCCCTGATGATGAGTGATGTTGAACATATTTATCCTCCCTCCCTTCCTCCCTCCCTCACTCCTTCCTTCCTTCCTTCTTCCTTTCTTTCTCTCTCTTTCTCTTTCTCCCCCTCCCTCCCTTTCTTCCCTTCCTTTCATTCCTTCCCTTCCTTCTCTTTTTTTGAGACAGTGTCTCAATCTGTCACCCAGGCCAGAGTGCGATGGCACAATCCTAGCTCATTGCATCCTCAAACTCCCGGGCTAAAGTGCTCCTCCTACCCCAGCCTCCCAAGTAGCTGAGATGACAGGTGTGCACCACCATGCCTGGCTAATTTTTTATTTTTTTAGAGACGACAGTGGTCTTGTCATGTTAACCAGGCTGGTCTTGAACTCTTGGACTCAAGCCATCTTCCCACCTTGGCCTCTGGGATTACAGGTGTAAGCCACGGTGCCTGGTGAGCCTTTTTCCATATACCTGTTGGTCAGTCGAATGTCTTCTTTTGAGAAATGTCTATTCAGGTCTTTCGCCCTCCCACCCCCCATTTTTTTTAAGAGACAGGGTCTTGCTTTGTTGCCTAGGCTAGAGTGCAGTGTGCGATCATAACTTATTGTAGTCTCAAACTCTTGAGCTTAAGTGATCCTTCCACTTCAGCTTTCCAGGAAGGTGGAACTACAGGTGTGTGCCACCACATCTGGCTAATTTTTAATTTTTTTTTTGTAAGCATGGGGTCTTGTTTCTTGCTATGTTGCCCAGGCTTGTCTTGAACTCCAGTTCTCTGATTTTTAAAAAAATCATAAGTAGATGCTGAATTTTATCAAATACTTTTTCTGCATCTATTGAAATAATTATGTGGTATTTTACTCTTGTTTGTTGAGTTTCTAATTTTAAACCATATTTGCATTCTTAAGCTAAAACTCAACTTGGTTGTGGTAGATCATATACTGCAGGATTCAGTTTCTTTGTCTAGAATTTTAAAACTTATTTCCACATCTTGTGTCATACTTTTCTTGGCTCATTGTAGTAGATATATTAGTCTAGTAAAATAAGTTTGGAGACATTTCTTTCTTTTCTGTGTATGATTGGAATTGCCCACTCATTAAAGATTTGGTAGAAGTCATCCGTAAAGCCCTCTTCGTCTGTTTCTCTCTCTCTCTCTCCCCCCCTCCCCCACCCCCGTGTGTGTGTGTGTGTGTGTGTGTGTGTGTGTGTGTCTGTGTGACTCTGTGTAGGGCAGTGGATAGGTTTTTAAATATATAGTCAATTTAATTTCATTGTGGTTACAGGGATTTTCTTTTTCTAGAGTTTGCTTTGGTAAGCTGTACTTTCCTAGGAATTTATTCATTTTGCTTGTTTTCAAATTTACTGACACACAGTTTATAATAAAACCTTTTAATGAGTAATATAATTTACTTTCCCCTTTATATCCAGCTTGTTAGAGGCTTGGCTTTTGCTTTTCAGCATTTCAAAGAAGGAGTTTTAAAATTTTCTCCATTCTTTCTATCATTTGTTTCTATTTCATTAAGTTTTGTTCATCCTTATTTTTCTTTCTTCTACTTTTCCAGGTTTACTCTGTCATTTCTTTATGGCTTCTTGAACTGGACATTCAGCTTGATGACTTGCTGACTGCTTTAGCTGCATCCCTGCACTTTAGCATCACACACTCAATGGCTTACTCAACATCTTCACTTTCACACTACTAGGCACCCCAAGCTTAAAATGGCCAAAGCAAAACTCTTGATCTACACATCTGAAAATGTACTTTTTCTGTAGTTCTCCCTACCATGGTGAAAGGCACCCTTATTCCCCCAGGTGCTCAGGCCCCAATCTCAGGTATCATCCTTGTTTCTTCTCTTTCTCTGTGCCTTACATCCAATCCTTTGTTCAATTTTGAAAATATATCTTCAATCTCACAACTTCTCAGAGCTGCACTGCTACCACTGTAGTTAAAGCCACCATCATCTCTCTCTCCTAGACCGTTCCAGAGCCTTGCAACTAGCCTTGTGCCATAGTTCTGTCCCATCACATCCAGTTCTCCACTCTACACCTGCAACATAGATCAGAGGATGTCAGCTCCTGGCTCAACATCCTCTGAGGGTTTCTCATGTTAGAAAAAACTCTCGGTTCTGGCTGGGCGCAGTGGCTCACGCCTGTAGTTCCAGCACTTTGGGAGGCCAAAGGAGGCAGATCACTTGAACTCAAAAGTTTGAAACCAGTCTGGGCAACATAGTGAAACTCCATCTCTCCCAAAAATACAAAAACTTAGCCAGGTGTGGTGGTGCGCATCTGTGGTCCCAGCTACTTAGGATGCTGAGGAGGGAGGATTGCTTTGAGCTCAGGGTGGATTTTGCAGTGAGCCAAGATTGCACCATTGCACTGCAGCCTGAGCAACAGAATGAGACCCCATCTCAAAAA